AAGTTCTTTATCGAACGCTACGTATTTGGCGGATGGGGGATAGGCGAGAAAAAGTGTAAGATTTTTCCGTCACGGCCCCTTCTGACGTAGTGTAGACCCCTTTCACGCTTTTTCTTATCTTGTCATGAAAAAAAATATTATTTTATTATAAATGACGCTTCATTTTTATAGATGCAAGTAATTCTTTTATTCGTATTTGGTAATCAATAACATAATACGTTTATAAATAATAAAATACCACGAAAAGAACTTCGTTCCAACCAAGTGTTCTACGACACTCATGCATGTTTTTAGGTTTCCGTACCTCCAAAGGAGAAAACGGAACCCTTATAGGATCACTTTGTTGTCCGTCTGTCTGTCTGTCAAGACCCTTTTTCTCAGGAACGCGTAGAAGTATCGAGCTGAAGTTCGTATCAAATACTCATTTCTACTGTCCCTTGGATCTGTGAAAAAATCAAACTTGACACTTTAATTACACAACACTAATTACAGTCTAAAACCACAATTGTACCACTGATCACTTAAATTCGCAGTTGTTTCGCTTCGAAGTATTCTTTTATATCGCCAATTCAATACTGACTAGAGGTGAGCGTTATTTAACGTAATCGGTTTCAGAAACTGCTTACGAGGCTGATAATCGTATACCCAGTTTCGTGGACAAAAATGTAATGATTATTTTACGTACGCAGTTGACACTCACATAACGACCGGCGCACGCGTAAGCGTTTCGTTTTGAACAGATTATTATTAAGAAATGATTATAGGTACGTAATACGATATACAACTCGCACAGCGAGAGTAAAGAGTCCCTTCGGGGTAGGTATGGCTTACACAAAAGATAAAAAGAGACGGCAATATTGTAATCGGTGCGTCTTTTTTAAAATGCCAAGGCCCATGCAAATTCATACGCAATCGGAAAGAGTAAAGGTTCATTATGATAATGTTTTTTTAAGAAATTGCGACCTTGACCAGTATTTCTATTAGAATTTTAGGTAGTTTACAAATGCAAGGGATGATTGACGAATGTTATTGTCTCGAGTCTGTTAACTGTGATCTTAAAAACTTTTTCTTTATCTCAGCCCAACCTAGCCGCTTTGCTACGAAGATACGGGAACATAGTCGCTACCTCCGCTCCTTGTGAGCGAATATTTAGTAAAACCGGACTTACAATCAATGAACGTCGCACCCATCTGGAAACAAATAAAATGGCCCAACTAACTTATTTAAATGTAAATTTGGATCCAAGCCGATTCAAAGTTTAAATATTTTAATCAAACTGCAAAATATGCGTAAACTGTAAATAGAAAAAAAAAACTGTACATAAAATCAAACGAACTTCTAAATACGCCTGCATTCTGTCTTAGAAAAAGTCACAAAAATAACTTTAAAATGAAATTTTGCAGCCAGTCCTAAGCCTAGAAAAGTATGAAGGTAAGTTCAATAGACAAAATTACCTTTACAGTCAAATAATACGCATAGCCTACATATTATAATACCTATAAACTGTTACATATTCGTAATCATAACATAACATAAAAGTAAAATTAATATTATAATACATATAACCTGTTATTAATTATTAATCTTAACTTAATACTAACGCAAAACTAACAATCGCTATGCTGTATACAGAAGTAACTAGTTACAAAAATAAGCAGTTTTGAAACTAGTTACTCATATCCGCGAAACTACGTACAACCGATTACGTCCAAAAGACGTTACGGCCCACGTCTAATACTGACTCGGTCGTGGTCTATACCGGCCTTATATAGGGCCTCAGATAGTTTCCAGAACCTTCTACTGTCGCGACATCTAGAATATTCGAGTACATATCGGTCCCGAAATTTCTAGAAAGATCTTGACTCTCCTAGTTCTGCTACTCTACACTAGAGGGCGCTGGTGGTAACTAGTGTTGCCATGTACAAGACATTAATAGTGGCGCGTAACAATATTATAGCACCGATAAAGGAAAAATTGTGAAAAGCATAAACTTTTAGTTAAATCATATAGTAAAAATATTTTTAATAATTTTAAACTTATATGCCTACAGATTTGTTCGGGACACTCGGTGCGCGAGTCCGACTCGCAATTGGCTTGTTTTTTTATGTGTGTTACATCATAACTTTTATCTGGTTGAACCGAATTCGATGATTTATTTTTTACTAGCTGACCGGGCGAACTTCGTATTACCTTTTTTTTATAGTATCGGGTGACAAATGAGCACACAGTCCACCTGATGGTAAGTGGTTACTGTGACCCATAGACATCTACATCTATCCTCAATAAAGACTCAAGATGCAGATGCGTTGTCACCCGTGAGGACTAAGATGGAATACCTCTTTGCCAGTAAAAAGGGTCTCCGGTTCTCTACACTCACCATACGAAACACAGCATCGTTAAGCTGCTATTTTACTCTGGTTTTCTGTGAGAGCGTTGTCCTTCCCCGGTCGAGCCGACCCATTCGTGCTACAACCATAATATAGCTTTTTTTTAATTTTCTCTCCGTATGAACCATCTTCGTACTTCAAGAAATATTATAAAAAAAGAATTAGTGAAATCGGTTCAGCTGCTCTCGAGAATTGCGCTTAGCAACACATTCAGCGATTCATTTTTATATTATGGATTTGAAAGTTGGTGTTTCTCATAAAAAAAGTTGGTGTAGTCCCATATAAATTTGATCAAGGTCTGACTAATATAATTTGACGGCTCCGTGGCGCAGTGGCTAGCAATGAGTTATTGCACTGGGGGCCGCGGGTTTGAATCTTGAACGGATCAGGTATTCGTATGGCCTACAAATAATTGTTCCATGTCTGGATGTTTGTCCTTGTGCAATTTATGTTTCTAAACTGCCTCCACGATACAAGAGAAAATCCTAAGGGGAACGTTTTTTAGCGTACAACAGCAATAGTTTTTGAGTTTTTCTTAATAATTTAAGAATTTGAAGTCGGTTGTACAACATTTTTTATTTTAATTTACAATTACTCTGCATCCATTTCCTCATCGTATTATCTTGTACTCTTCGATTGGAATGCTAATAAACAATTTTATACAAATCTTCCTACGTTTTCCCATGGGTACCTTCGAGCAAAATGCTGCAGTGTCATCGTTCCATGAACGAATATGACGTTGTCCCAATTGGTTATATTTAGCTTGCTACATATATATTTATCTATGGTTATATTTTTCATTTTTTTTCTTATTTCTTAAAAAAATGTTTATTATTGAGGCTATATCATGCCTCTTCATAATTATTTTGCAAAAAAAGTGACTGGTTAATTTTTTTATATTTTGCTTTTTCTGTAAGATTTGAACTTGAATTATTGATAAAGAACTATATACCTATGTTGTAATGAAATATAGATAACTTCATAATTCTTTGGATTTACGTAAAAGGTTATTTTAAATCTTGTGAGTACGCTTGTACAAAGTTATTGCGGAATGATTAACGTTAAACGTCAAAATGTATAGTGATTATATACTCTTTGAGAATAACCACATATTACCACAGGACTCCACAGGATAATAAGAGAGTGGTCGAGTACCTATTTACACTCTCGCGAGGCGTTCACTTCATAGATAAATACATATGTAGCAAGTTCAGTTAAGTTTGCGTTGAGTTAGCAACGATGGACGACGTCGAAATAATAGCAGTATCAACTCAATGCCTTATTGTCTTAATAAGTATTTATTGATGCTTGACCATTTTAAAAATAAGGAAATTAAAAAACAGCCGTAAGCGAATTTTTTTTTACTTTGAGCTCTGCTAGCGGTTTGTACATAACATCGGAAATATTTTTCCACGCATCATTTACCCTTTTGGATTCCTAATTATTCCCTCAGCCTGATAGAGTTCCAAGAACTGAAGAACAAGAACAAGAGCTGCGATTTATCTTGTTACCAGTCCATTTTTAATTGAAGAGTCGAACGTAAACCCAATAAAACAATACAACCTGCACGCAAGAGCCCCATAAACCAACTCTCAGAGTACCTTTGTATATGAACCAACTGAATCGATAGTGAGACTGTATAATAGTAAATACCACACTCGCGTCCCTCTTGAGGCCCTTTGACTCGTGCTCAGGTAAAACCGCCTCCGACGCGAGCGCTGTGAGTTGCGAGGCGAGCCACGAGCTAGCGTTTATACTCGCACCACGTGGCTGGCCTTGCGACTCGCCTTGCCGCTCGCTAGCTTGCTACATGTTTATTTATCTATGCCGCTCGCGCAAAAGTGTAGACGGGCTAGTGAAATGAGAATTATGAACAACTACTGATTGTAGGTGGTATAATGAAAAAAAAACCGATATTTATCGTAACAATATTTTTAATAGTATCGAATATATCGCGTTTAATATATCGATATATCGTCATGTTTTGCAGGATGTAGTAGGATGAGGGCCAATATTTTATTACAGGCCGATTTGACGAGGAAAAAAACAACAGGACATGAATTCTTTTTTAGTTTAAATTATATTGTTTATTAAATTAAAAAAATAAATATTACATTATAAATATATTGAAATTGTTACGAATTCGATAGTTAAAAATAAACAATGAATATCGATATATCACGATTAAAATATTGACAATAAATATCGATAGTTGTGTAATATGTAGTTGTGTAAGATAATATCGATATTTCGAAATATCGATCTTTTTTACCCAAGCCTACTAGCACAGACACAGATCACAGAGTACACTACCCCACTACTGATAACTATTAAACTATAGCCTCAGAAGGCCTAGAACCCAGAGCCGTAAAGCCAGTTTAAAAAAACTATTAAACTATAATAAGTATTAACTAAATTATCATATCAAAAATTTATCTATGATCAAAAATAAGTTTTTGATCGTCTTTGTGACTGTATAGTGCATTAACCAATATCGTTAAGTTATTACATTAAAATATAATATACCTACTGTATTGTAAACACTAAGAAACATCAAGCATACAGGACTGCGACTTCGCACATTGTTGCATGTTAAATTGTTAAACAACAAACATGCCTAAACGTGGTGGTGGGCGCATGAGAAATTGGAAAGCTGATAATGATCATTTTGGTAATTATAAAGTAATATATTTATTGCATGTCTCATTTTCAACAAAACATGTTGATTGTTGATATTTCGTCAAAAATGCAGAAATACCTTGATTCTTACGCCTTTAGCATTAGCACATAGATGGCACGAAAACGGGGCGAATATGTATCACAGTATTCGCTTCATTTTCGTATCGATTTCGCGTAATGGACCTGTCTGAACTGTACACCGGATGGGATTGCGAATCAAATCCCTGCAGGACAGTAGGATGGACGTCGGACATGTTGGACTGGTGTTGTGCACACAAGAAATATTTTTAAAATTTAGGATATTTTTTTTAAATTAAACTAATGGGAAAAATGTACTTGCAATCTGTTGCTGTGGTAATTGGCTACTGCAGCCCATGGACATCTGCAGCTAAATTCAAAGTGAGAAGGTTATAGATCTGTTGCTACCTCTGAGGACTAAAATAGAATTTCTCACAGCCTGTAATAATTCAATTGACACTATACACTCTTAGGGGCAGAAATTGGTAACAGGGTGGTCCCTACCCCGCTGTTACAGGATTTCCAATTCATCCTTATTCTCTACTAGCAGATACCCACGACAACATCCATGTTGCTTACACACATCTCTGAACATGTGCTTATAAAAATTGTTGTTTTTTAAAACTTCAATAACTTAATATTGAATGAAGATATCACAATAATTTTGTTTTTAAATAAGGGTCAAGTGTCTAAGAAATAAAACTTAGAAAACCTAATTGAATTCTCTCCAGTAGTTTTTCTGTGATGCACACACAACTGCAAACCTCTATCATTTTATTTATATAGATTCTAACACAGTATATGATATTAATTCAGAAGAAGAAATTTCGTTATTGAGCCCCATCAAATTGTAAATAAAGGGTTGATTAATAAAAATTAAAAATTATTAATCTTTAGAATACAATATATACATATAGACTGATGAAAATCTGTCAATATTTATATACTTGTCGCAAATGCAAGGGGAATTGATTATGTTTTGCTTTTATTTCTTTGCTGAGTGTGACCTACTAATCGGTCATGCTAGTGTGTGTTTTGTTGTTTTGCTAGTGTTGCACCACGCTTCAGTTCCGTTTTGGATTCACAGCCATGTGCCAGAGGCGTTAAAAAAGCATGTTCAGTATTTTTATTAGTGGTATTTCTATTTCTTAAATTAAGAACATTGCATTAAAGTAGTATTTAGAAGTTAATTTTTTAAGTTAATTTCAGTTGTGTTTAATGGTATATTAAATTTTATGGAAATAAGTGTCAATTTCTCTTATAGAACATGATGACCGTGCCAGTAACCCCAGACGAGTCAGCTTTAAGCCTGGTACAAATAAAGGCAAGAATAAGTTTAATTCCTGGAAAAACACTGCTAAGCTATTGCTTGATGATGATGTTGATATGGGGGCTTCTGGAGGACAAGGGCCTAGAAAGCCCTATAGAGGTCGAGGAGGACGTCTTGGTTCTCCAGCACCAAGATCTGGTCATGGAATTACGAAGAAAAAGTTTGTGGCGGGGATGTTACCATGGTATCAAATCATTATCCCTTATGGGGCAAAACATGATAAAGATGTTGTACTGAGAGCCCTTTTAGATCACATTTCACCAGAAATCTTTATACCGCATTACTATAAAATAAATGGCAATGCTGCAGTATTCTATGTGGATGATGTTAAAATTGCCGAGAAGTTGTTTCATGCAGATAGAAAAATTATGATGTCAGATGGCTTCAAGTTAGTTGTAATAGTGAGAAACACAGTTCCAAATGTGAATGTAGATGCTGATATGAAAGAAAAAATGAAGTTAGTAATGGCAAAAAGATATAATGCTGCTACAAAAGCTTTGGATTTAACAAAATTTCATGCGGATCCAGGTATACACTTATTTATATTTTCTATTCTATATCATAATTATATTAAACAATGTACAGTTAAAATTGTTTATAGCAACCATGAAGAAGGGACACCTAACTATGGATGCTTTAACTGGTAGTCGTTATAAACAATATGCATACAACTTTGTAATGTTTTTTTATTATTTAATGGACTATTTTGAAAATAATAATAATTTGTGCTTTTGTTTATAATGGAACTTGGTTGGGACCCTGCTATTGCATCACAATAACCAATCGGCTACTAAACGGCTACCAAATGCTCAGGGGTTTCTTTGCATGATTAACATAAAATATGATATCCGCAGTAGAATCAGAGTGACCGATATAGCCCAACGGATTAGTAAACTGAAGTGGCAATGGGCCGGCCATATAGCTCGAAGAACCAACAACCGATGGGGGAAAAAATGTTCTCGAGAGGCAAAGTGTTGGGCGACCCCCCCACTACACGACCTGGTAAGATATGCAGGAAGTCGATGAATGAGGTGGCTCAGAACCGTGCTTTGTGGCATTCCTTGGGGGAGGCCTATGTTCAGCAGTGGACTTGTGAAGGGCTGTAATGATGATAATGATGATGAACCAATTGGTAGTTGTACTCAATGTCTCTTTAATGACTGTATTATATTTTAGCAATACATTTATGTTTGTTTGCTATATGTTGGACTCTGGTCAAAAGTCTGCATCTTTCTCGTTTCACACAATCATGTCTAGAAGGCAGCTGCTAACCCTAGCAGCTTCTACCCAGAAGGGATCACAAAAATGTAATTGCATATGACTAAGAGCGAGGAAAGGGATCATAAAAATATGAATGATTTTATCACCATATAGTATATAACCTGTAACAAGTAGTTATTACTATTGCACTACTTAATATAACAAATATGTTTTTTACTTGCACTATATATTAAAACAATAATTTTTTGCAGATTTATCTGAGATCTTCTGTGCGCTGTTCCGACCAGTAATCATGCTTGCAGCCATTGATATCATTGCCGAAAATATACCAGACCTTGAAGCCTTAAATCTTAATGACAATAAACTCCATGGCCTTGAGCATCTGAAAATACTATCAACCAAATTAAAAAGTTTGAAGATTTTGTATATGGCAGACAACAGGGTATGTTTGCAATTGTTATATTTATAAAACTTTAATTATAAAACAAAACTAAACTGGATAAACCATCAATTATTAAATCAGGCCAAACTGCCATGCAACACAAGTACTTCAAATACCTCCGTGATGAATTAGAGAAACATAGCAATAATGGAGAACAAGTCTTGATTATCAAGTATATACAAGGGCAGCCTAAAATTATCTGTAAACAAGAAATATAGAACTAATTCAAATGCACCAACCCTCACTAGTAAATCTTTTAACAAAAAAAATTTGATTTTGATATCTTCCACACTCTTAACAATAACAATCTATACAAATAAATAAAATTGAAGTGTCTGTAGCATCAAAATAACAGCCTTTTACTTAATGCATAGGAAAGTATATATGGTACTAATAACAAAAAAGACATTTTTAAAATTTTTGTCTGTTTGTTCTGGCTAATCTCCGAAATGGCTCGACCGATTTTGACGGGACTTTCACTGGTAGATTGCTGATGTTATAAGGAGTAACTTAGGCTACTTTCATTTTAGAAAACTAATTAGGTACCGGAGCAAACAGACAGACAGACAGACAAAAACTTTAAAAACTGTATTTTTGTTATTAGTAAGGTACTAAGGTACTTTCATATGCATTTAGTAAAAAGCTGTAATTTTGACATTACAAACAGACACTTCAATTATATGTATTTGTATAGATAATAATATATAATAATAAGATATAATAATGCCCAGTAACGCGCGCGTCCCACGCGAACGCCGCCGCCATGGCCGCACCGAAAGAGATTACAAAGGCTACCTATCGCGCGGGTTCATTTCACTCAGAACTCGCGAGCGGGTGGTTGTGTCTCAACGCGCGCCCTATAAAATTATTTTCGACTAGCATATAGCTGATGTTATTAGGAGTAATTTTTATATTAGAAAAATAATCAGGGTTCCGTGCAAAAATTATAAATATATCGTAACAAATCGTAATATATTCAACGCGGGCGAAGCCGCGAGGAGCAGCTAGTCTTATACATAAACATACAATCGATATCGATGGATTTATTCATTGCAATAGTTGATCAACAGAAACCATCAATTATAGTCCTTTCAGACATGGCTAAAACCAAATATACCTGACTCATTGATAAAAATACCGGGTTACGACTTATACAGAGATGATCATACTGATAAACAAAGTGGAGGAATCGATATTTTTGTATTGAACAATATTACCTATATGACAAAGCGAAATAGTCAGTATAACACAAAGTATGACTCTTGTGAATGTTTTTGGGTAGACATTGAAGTAGGTTCTCAAAGAATACTGTTATGTGGACTACATAGAGGGCACGAATAAACTATCGTTCAAGACAACTTGCTTTTACTAGATTAAGAACTGGCTTCCCAATTAAACACACAATAATTGGTGATTTTAACTTTGGTGGAGTCAAGTAGCCACTTTCAAATTATGGGTATCTACTGCCAAAACAAACCAATTTCATGCAATGGTATGAAAACAGCAATCTATAACAATTGATAGATTTAATATACAAGGTTTCGCTGGGGTTACCAGCCATCTACTTTATACCTAATCTTGACAAAAGGTGAGTCTTTGATAGTTTCTATCAGTTATGAGGCTGCAATTGGGAAAAGCGATCATGCATGATTAGTATCTACTATACAGTTCGAAACATAACAACAGAATGGGCAGCAGTCTAAACCTAAAAATAATTTTATTATAAGAGATTACAACAAAATCAAAGAAGAACTTCACTTCAATTTAAAAAAAATTAAAAGATTTACATTGTCCATTTGAACAGTTTAGGAGCCTTAGACATGTTCCTCTTGTAAAAACATTTAATAAAGTAAATAAACCATGGATAAAGAATGACATATTTATGTTAATAAGAGAAAAAATACTTTGGAAGAGATATACATAACAGGGTCAGATAAAATCTATAAGGAATACAGGAAGCTAAATAACAAACCGATTAATTTAGAGCGCACGGTAAGGGCAGTTTACGAGAATCAACTATTAGAACTAGGACCAAAGAAATTTTTCTTCTACATCAGGCAGCAAATCACTACAAAAGTTAGTACACCAAAAATTTTATGGAACAGTAATGGGTAATCTGTGACACGTCCTAAAGAAATAGCAGAAGTATTTGCAGATCATTTTTCTAACATATTTGAAAGCAAACCACCAGGAGAATTTCCTGCTTTAGAGCCAAACCTAAGAGCAACTGTAGCTATAGAGGACATCATTATTCACCTGGCCCTGACGAAATACCCGTATATATTTTAAAGAACTGCGGACTTGGTAGTTACCTAGCATCAGTAATGCAAGCATCATACGACAAAAAAGTATTGTCTGATTTATGGAAAACGGCTTTAGTGACTCCTGTTTACAAACACAAATTAGATCCTAATAATTTCTTATATTTACGCGAACACTACTCGTTGAATAAAACTATTTTTTACGGATTTTATAACGTTTAATTTACTATTTTAATTCTCGACGTTTTGAGTGCTTTACACAGACGTGCGCTTTAAACTGTTAGCTTGGAAAGAGGCTTTTCTACGACAAAGAACTTTCAGAGTAAAGATTGGCAACACATTCTCAAATGTAAAAGAAATACAAAGTGGTGTACTACAAGGTACTGTAATGGAACCAGTATTGTTTATAGTGTTTACCTTTATTGGCCTAAAAGCTTTAGTTGTAATGTAAGCATGTTCGCTGATGACATGAGGATATTCGCAAACCCACTAGTGGACTTTGAGCACCTTCAAGCAGAACTAATTAATATATCAGATTGGTCAAAAAAGTAGCTTATTAAATTAAATACAAGTACTTAATTTGCGCAGTCTTATATGGAGGACTGCACATATGGAGGGTGCATTTGCACAGTCCTCCATATAAGAAACCGAAACCCTTGTTTCATATATAAAATCGATGATATACCTCTGGAAGAAGTTAAAGTACAAAAATGTGTGTGCATATAAGTAACGATCTAAAATGGGAACATCACATTACAGTGATAACTAATAATAAAAAAGCAAATAGTTTTATTTGCCTTATTAGAAAAGCCTTCGGGCATCTAAGCCCCAGAAATGATGCTAAAAATACATAAAACATACATTCGACCTATTTTGATATTGAAGAAGGTTCAACGCAGTTTTTCAAAAGTTCCTTTTTTTTTTAAAGAAACGTTACCCCCACACTAGAATTTTCTCAAACTTTTTACAAACACAAATTGCACAAGGACAAACATCCAAACCAGGAACAATTATTTGTAGGCTATACAAATACTTGTTCCGCGCGGGATTCGAACCCGCGGCCCCCAGCGCAGCAACTCATTGCTAAGCCACTGCGCCACAGAGGCGTCACCGTCGCCGTCAGTTCCTAGAGCATTAATAAACATACCATATGAGGAAATGCTGAATAAACTTGAATAACAGCGCTGAGAGATCGCAGAGAACGAGGAGACTTGATCGAAACGTATAAAATTATACATGGACACTACGATCTAGAAATTTTTGACGAAGATGTATTCCAGTACTTAAAAAAAACACATCCAAGGGGACAAATCTTCAAACTAACTAAAGCTGTGTCACATAATAACCCACTACTACTAACTAGACTACCGACTGGATTATCATCCGTGTCCCTCAAAGGTCTGTTCTCTCCGCAACACTCTTCCTGCTGCATATTAATGATCTGCTTATGCCCGGTATCATGCAGACGATAGCACAGTTGTGGAGAGACCAACCAAGTCCTAGGACCAGTCGGGATTAAATCCAATCCGAAAGAGACGCCATGGTTAGAGCATGTGAATCTCACATTACAGGCAGTCTCCGAATGGGGCTGGGTGATGCCAATCATGTGAAATTCAATGTCTCCAAAACAAGGTCATCTCTTCACTGCAAAAACAACAAGCTCACCTTGGCTTCTTCTTTCCGAAATGTATCACTGGAACATACCGACCGCCAGCAGTTGTTAGGTTTTGAGATATCCTCAAATCTGAACTTCGGGCGGTTCATTGAGTCCAAGGCCAAAGCAGCTGCAAGGAAGCTTGCAAAGGTGCGGCGATACTTTACGTTGGGATAGCTGCTTACTTTATATAAAGCCCAAGTCTGGTAGTGCATGGAGTATTGCTGCCATATTATATGGGCTGGTGCTGCAAAATGTCACCTAACAGCTTTGGACTCAATGGAAAGGCGTGCTAAGGGGCTTATTGGTGACCCGAATTTGGTTAAAACCAATCTTACCAGCCTCGAAGACAGATGCAAAGTAGCGAGCCTTTCGGTTTTGTACAGGATGCATTTTGTAGAGTGTGCACAGAAATTGCATAATTTAATTCCTCCCTCTCCCTTCCAGCATCGCATAACTAGACGATCGGCAAGTCTCCATCCTTTCGTTTTTGACTTAACACGCATTCGAACCAAACGTTTCGCTACGTCGTTCATCATGTGTACAGCAAAGGAGTGGAATAAGTTGCCAGCATCTGTCTTTCCATCCGATTACAGTGTGGTGTCTTCAAGGCAAGAGTGAATAGGATTTTGTTAAATCAGTACGCTTTACCATCTTAGGTCACATCACCACTTTCCATCAAGTGGGATTGTAGATAAGCGCTGGCTTAGTAGAATATAAAAAAAAAACACAAGCACTTCTTTAGCCATAGAGTGGTTGAAGCATAGAAACAAGCTGCCATCAGAAGTGATATCACAAGCTATTAACTAATTCAAGAACAGATTAGATAAACAACTAAAATATAATAATTACACATTTGAAACTAGGATACGGGCTTGTTGTTTCAACTGCTGGCCTGTTAATTAATTAATAAAAAAGTTCAAAGGTGTAATTCTTCTTGTACTTCTTTATCAGCCTGTAAAATTTCACTACTGGACTTGGTTCTCTCCTGGGTAAGGAGGATTTGCCTAAATTGCCATGCTTGGCAAAGGAGGATTGGTGATCAGTCGTCTCGCAACTTGGACTCTACTCCATGTCGCCAGTCTGAGTATTTTAGTACTGGTATAATTGAGATTAGATAATCGTTTACTTTTTTTAATTACTTAGATATTCTTTAATTTTTCAGATACCGTTTCTTGGATCTCTGGACCCACTGAAGTCTCTGCCACTGGTAGAATTATACCTCAAAGGCAACCCGTTGCTGAACAGGTTTAATGATCACGATATTTACATCAGGTAATATTTATTAGATGCAGATACAGTTTTATCTAAAGCTCCAAGAGTTGGAAGCCTTGGAGTGCTAAAAGTTTGTTAGATGTTGGGAGTCACTAAATTCCTAGCTATCACGTTGTGAAGTTTGGAAAATATTTGTAATGGTTAATTTTTTTCATCTGGCACTAATAATTTGGGAAAAATAATGTTTGTCACCAATGGTAATAAACTATGGAGTATATTTTTACAAAATCACATTTATTCATTATTTACAATTTTGTACTCAGGTGTAGCGCCGAATCAAATCCCCATAAAAGTTGCTTTTACGGAAACTTTTAAGGAAATAACATAATTTTATGAATAGCCCTGCTAAATTATGTAATGATATTTTAATTAATAATATATTTACCATGCGGTGGTGGCGTATGAGAATCCATCGGCCCATTTCATCCTGTAGGTGTCGCAAGAGGCAGCTATGAGAGATGTCATAAAGAACTCATCGCCATAATAATGGTCTTGTCCATGTTTCATGGAAATGTATAACTTTCGGTTTAAACCAAGTTTGCCTAACACTTCAAATTTCTCATTGTAGGAATTCAATCTGACTGATAATATGATGGCGTTATGTCCATAATTATATTGTAGTTTTTGGTTCCAAATTTGAAATAATTACTAAATGAAATGAAGTAACCTTTAGTGAAATTATATTGTAATTATATGAGATACTTAGTCCAAAATATATTTACTATTTAGTTCCACACTCATTGGACTGGGTTTCTGAGATTGTTAGAAAGCAAATAAAAAACAATGAAAACTTGCAATCTGTCAATCATTCACTTCAAAGCACACCTTTAATTATATGAACCTGAAGGATATTTCAACATCACCCTCAGGATAATAGAACATAATATGTTAGTAATTATAGTCTTACTAATCCAAGATACATTCAATTTGTAGATAGATTGGTAGATAGAGAGGAAGAAATTAACATAATCGGTCAATTTATAACAATTTAATCAGCATATATTTTGTAATATAAATTTTTATGCTTTTATACAAAATTTCTTCTAAGTTTTAAATAATTGCAATTATTCCACATTGACATTACTAATTAACTTAAGAACAATAATTATGATTTTCTTTCATTAAGGGTCTATTGTAATGGTTTGCAAATTATCGGCAATCACAAAAAAAAAAATAATCAAGAAGTGGATGCATGTCTAGTAAATAAAGTGTGAATTTTGCGATCATTGTAATGCTCAATATTTTAATGAATTAATGTAACTTAGAATTTTGAAACATGTACATTGTAGGTACAATAAATTATTTAAACATTTAAAGTAAACATTGCGTTCAAACCATGTTTTATGTCTTTAAATTTATATGAGAATGAAAATTGAAATGACTTATTTCAATTTGAGGTAATATCTAACATATTGCCTCTTAATAAATTGTGCCTGAATTAATCCAAAGTAATGAAATACAGTATGATAGTTTGTGTGATCTCTAACCGAATAAATTTTTATTGGTTGATATTAGGCAATAAGTTATCAAATATATATTGATTCCATATAGTAATTTTTGCAAACAGATTTTTCAGGAAAAAAGACATGAGACATTTTGGTTAATTATTGAAATGATTTAGGGTCTATTTAACTTAAAAATACTACAAACAATAGCAAACATTTTTGGAGACACTACATGCATGTTGTATCTATGTTAATTTTATTTTTAAGCAACTGAAACCACTATTAGTGTTTTTTTAAACATAGGTAAAAAAATAAAGGGTTTGTTGTAACATTAACAAAGAACAATGGCAGACTTTCATACATAAAATTAGTTGAGAAGGAATGGTAGCGTCTATATATCAAAAATATCTTAAAATGTTAAGCTAATGTCCCGTAATAACTCCGTCTAGGAATTTTGTCCTGACAAGGCGTCAAAAAAAAGATATTTAGATTTCAACCTTTTTAGGTTATGTCTTATGTCACTTGGAAAAAGTTATGCTTCCTGTGGTTGTTTGATGTTAGCTTAATACATAATACATAATTGAGAGTATTTTAGATTATTGTATATCTATTATATATTTGCATACTATAAATGTATATTTCTGTCATGGCTCCAGGGCCTTTGTGTCATAGTGACATTCTCAGAAGGGCTAGAATCCAGAGCCGTAAAGCCAGTAAAAAAACAGTGACATTTTGTTTTAGCTAGTGTTGCCATAACATTAAATGGAATTGTTACATAGTACTATGATTGAGACAATGTATTATTGTAGGAAGTTCTTTGTAAGAGACTTATTCTCAACCATATCACTTTTATTTTTATTATTACTGATAGTATAGTTATTACTAATAATAATTTAATATAAAAATATTTTGTGTGTTGTGTTGGTAGTTTTACAAAGTATATACGAAAATAGTATGAATATACTAAATTGCAACACTTGAATAGAGTAAAATGATTTAAGTCATTTGATATTCTCATAAATGTTTGCTTTTTTCTGTGGCTTCAATTAAAATACATTTTTATTTGAAAAATTATAGAAAAATAATAAAACTCATTTTATATATAATTTATTTGTAGATGCGATCATTTTTGTCTACTATTTTTCTGCCATTGCTCTTTAAATATCAAATTACATTTTCAAAAAATCTGTACCACACAAACTGATTACTTTTGACAATAAATAACTGTGAACATTTGCTATGTTATGTATATATGTAATAATGATAGTTCTTCGCAAAAAACTCTAAATAATAGTGTTTAGGAGTTGTTATGCTTTTAAATATTCGGGTTTTTTAATGTCATGTACTTTTTTGAAAGCACTTTTGTGCAGGATCATGATTTCAAAAACAAAGCATTAGTGTGGTGTATATTTGATTCCACATTTTGAGTCAATATCTAAATAGGTTTTTCTTTTGCTAAAATAATACCTTTGTTATAGATAGTGCTCTTGAGTAGTCCTATTATATATTTGTCTTCAACATATCTTATTTACAGTTGAAACTTTTTTATGAATTAATCTGCTGTCTCATTCTTAATTACTTAATATTTCTTCCATGATAAAACAGGAAGTAATCGTATGTGTGTTTAATTTTTGTTAACCAAGAAACATGTCTTCAGGCAATCAACTATTTATTATGGTTTATGCATAAGTATGTAAGTTAGCAGTTGCATGTAAGTTCTACTAAATGCGAATGAAAAAAACATTTTAGCTAAATTTTCACACATACTGTATTCTCTTAATGAAAATCATGTGCAACTATTTTGAGTTTTGATTTATTCTATTTTTAGTAAGTAATTATTAGGAGGATAAGGCAGAAAATATCCTGACCCCTTATTAATTATTACTTTTTAACAACTTTGAATAAATTTGGTTTCATAAATAGTGAAGTATATTTTGTAACTTGAAAAAAAAAACATTATTGTATATATATTTACTTCAGACATGCAGCCGATATTAGGTACTGATACATATATAATCCTATGATTGAATATTTGTGCTTTAAAATGTATTTTTTAATATATTTCATATACTATCCTTTCACAATTGTATCATATGAGCATTCAATTTTATCTTTATGTGTAAGGAAAAAAATATCATTAGTTTGGTGAAGTGCCTAAATGTATTTCACCAAACTATCGTTGAATTGATTCATCCACTTCAGCTACTATTATACTGTGAACCATTTTGATAATCAATACATGCAGTATAATGTACATACTGTCGGTTTATTTAAATAAATGTAATTAATTAGCTTAAAATTTTAATTAAAATATTAGTTATTGTCAAATTTGCATAAGTTACCGGTAAATATTTGGGTTTTGAAGATTTTGAATCTTAAAAAGTCTAATGTCTATTACAAAGTTACAATGTAAGCCTTGTTTTGAAAGACACGTAAAAAAAAACACATATTTATTGACATTTTTCTGCTTTAACTTGGAATAATATTATATGTGCAAGTCAAATTCATCCAACCAACAGGTTTAATGAATATTATGTCATCAAAATTCTGCTGTGCAATCACTAAAAGACTATATTATAAAAGTATATATTAAAAGTATAGTTTTCAGACAAGCATTAAAGGTAGAAAATACGTTTACTATAATGAGAAGATCCTTAAAAATCAGAAAAAACACTTCAAGAAATTTTTGTAAAATATTTTGTAAATATGTAAAATAACTAACTTAGTGCTTCTAAGTTAGTTATTTTACACAGTAAATGGTTTTTTTACTCTGTTCATATTTGCTATAAATATAGCAAAAGTTTTGAAATTATTAATAATTTTGCAACCTTTTGGAAATTGAATGGCGGAATTTCAGTAGCCCCCCTTTTTTTCTGTCTGTCATGGAACTTAGAAAGTCATCCACCAATTATTTGTTTCAGTTAATAAATTTGTTCTTTAATTTTGTGCTGAGAAAATGTATTTAAATAATCTCTATGTAGTTCCTAAATAATCATAACATATTGGAAATAAAAACTACATAGATGATTTTTTATTAATTTTTTTAAATTTAATTCTCTGGTTTTTATTAATTATCAAATTGAGAATTTTATAAGTCATTGTTAAGTTTAACTGAGCTTTGTTAAGACACCTGTGGAAAATGCAAAACACTTATAAGTCCTCTTTTTAAGTAGTAATAATTTATAAGACCAGTAACAACTTTTGAAAGTTCCATAAAACTACAAAGCTAGTCAGTTTGTAAATCAAATTAGCAATAAAATAAAGTGTGCATAAGAGTACAAGTATTTTGCATTTTACATCTAAAAAAGAAAAATATTTTTTTACATTATTCAATTATATAACATTAACAAAAATCAATCACTAACAAAGCACTTAAAACTAGCATTGAACTTGATTTGCTATGATTTTTTAAGTTCCTCTGGCCAGAATAAAAGAATAATATATCAACATTGTAAATAAATATGAGTGTAAATGCAAATTTAATTCCGTCAACAAATATGATACTATTAGTTGACAGTATAAAATTTGCATTTGTATTTCCTGTGTTTTATAAAATTTGATCAAAGAGTTTCAGAGGTCTTTTTCATCTGTTGCCATGTTGTTTGTCCAGCGACGTGCGGAAGAAGTTCCCCAAGCTCGTGCGACTGGTAAGTAAAAGTATTATTGAGTTTTGTATATAATATAAATAAAAGTGACATCAGTACAAGCAATTGGTATTAAGATTTAAAACTAAATAAGTAGTACTTGTTACGTGGTAGAGCTATGCTGCAGCTATATTAGTAGTATAGTTGTAGCACGAATGGGTCGGCTCGACCGGCGAAGGACCACGCTCCACAGAATACCAGCGTAAAATAGCAGCTTAACACTGCTGCTGTGTTTCATATGGTCAGTGTAGAGAACCGGAGACCCATTTTACTGGAAAAGAGGCATTCCATCTTAATCCTCACGGGTGACGACGCATCTGCATTTTGATTCTTTATTGAGGATAAATTTAGATGTCTATGGGCCGCAGCAACCACTTACCATCAGATGAACTGTGTGCTCGTTTGTCACCCTATCCTATATAAAAAAGGATGAATGACTCGTGTTTTTATAATCAAGTAATAATAATCTAGTTACAATTATAATTAAGAAAATTAACAATAGCCAATCACAATTAATATAATCACCACCGTCGGAGCCAACAAGCAATAAAAGTAAATATATTAGTACCGAGTCGAGACTATCCCTGCTTTGTCGATTAGATGATAATCACGGATGTAAAAAAACCGGTAGTAATGCTATTCTGAAAATGTGTGAAGCACTACCTAAATTTATTTCCGTCATATGCAAGATATACGCACACAAACACATAAAGGTTCGACAGTCGGCGTCAGTATATAGCGCGGGTCAGCAGTAATACTGACACGTGCAAAATAAAATTGTATTATCTAGTGTGCTTCACACGTTTTCGGTGTAAAATGAGGTCCATATGTTTAACGTTCTTGATAATAATTTTCTAGTAGATACTGAAAAATCAAATTTTGTTCATTTTAAATATTTCATCTGCCACACCAAATGGCTTGTACTTTTGATGCATCTATCATAAATTTTATTGCTAAGCGTGGTGATTATTGCCTTCCTAAAATTGAAGAGACCATTGTTCAGCACTGGACTGCAGCCATTTTTTTAAGCATCCTTCATTTCATTCTGTACATATGTCGTAATGTGTACACATTGCTATAATTGCTAGAGGTTTTGCTAAATTTGATAAAAATAATGTATAGGTACATATATTTTATGCATAATTAAACAGTAGAAGCAAAAAAAAGTGGACAATCCATATTGTTGCGATAATCTAATCCTTAAAAAAAGTCTTTTACAATTTTAAATATTGTAAATGCTTCAATGAGACCATTTCCATTTTAATTTCTTAAATGGTGAAACATAAAAATATAAAGAGTAGATCTTACAGCATGTTAAGTATATATGTTATAAACAATATTTAACACATTTCAGCAGTAGGATAAATTGAATATTATATGTACAGCAGAGATTTTATAGCAAATCTTATTTATTTCAATATGTAAAGAAAACAACTATCAGTTTTATTGTGATCGAATATTTTATTATTGGAGTAAGTAAATAACCAACTATCTTTGGGAGATATAAGTAACGTTATAATAATATACTAAGTTAGTAGTTAAACTTAAATACAATATGTATAGGACGGAGTGGATTTGCCGCCAGCGATCGGCTTCGACGTATCTGAAGATGTCACATTGCCGCCGCGTCAGCAGTCTTTCCTCATCGACCCAGCCGGTCAGGACCTCGTGAGGGAATTTCTCACGCAGTACTTTGCTATCTTTGATTCTGAATCCAGGCAGCCGCTTTTGGAAGCTTATCATGAAAGCGCCACCATGTCTATGGCCGCAAATTACCTGACCAATGATAATAGAAACATGCCAGCTACGAGGTTAGTAATGATCACTTTAGTTATATATTTATTCCTCATGTACATTATAGTACATTATATTATAATAGTGATGATTTTTAGTGGACCCAGATAGTATATACGACGCTACATTTATGCGTCTTGAGGCACATACTATTACAGATAATGAAGATAGTTTCTTAAACAGTTTTAATTGTCCACAGATTAAATCAATACATTTCGAATAGTCGTAATATAATACGAATCACGGAAAGGGAATCAAGGAGAAGATACCTACGCACAGGCAAACTTCAAGTGGTGTCCTTCCTCTCTGATTTGCCAAAAACCACTCATGATCTGATGGGGTTTGCTGTGGACCTACTTGTTTTTACTGTAAGTTTATCTAATATAATTATTATTTTATATTGTGTACCTTATTGTTGGTAATGAATGTGTTCCAAAAATAGATAAAAAATTCAACTCAATCTTACAGCCAACCATGATAGTGCTTACGATGAATGGCTTATACAAAGAGACAAATACATCAGGCAGTCCAACGCGGTCTTTTCATCGCACCTTCGTCATAGTGCCTAATAGTGGAGGGGGATTCTGTATCATCAACGATATGTTATATGTCACCAATACTACAAAGGAACAGGTGAGTGTTAAAGCAAATGCTAAATCTATACAAATAAATAAATTTGAAGTGTTTGTTTGTAATTTCAAAATTACAGCTTTTTACTAAATGCATATGAAGGTATATACGGTACTAAGAACAAAAATACAATTTTTAAAGTTTTTGTCTGTCTGTCTGTTTGTTCCGGCTAATCTCCGAAACGGCTGGACCGATTTTGACGTGATTTTCACTGGCAGATAGCTGATGTCGCAAGAAGTAACTTAGGCTAATTTTATTTTAGAAAAATAATTACTGTTCCGCGCAAAAATATTAAAACCCCAAATAACACGCGGGCGAAGTCGCGGGGAACAGCTAGTACTATAATATAACGTAGCGGTACGAATGAGCCGGCTTCACTAGGTAAGGAATACACTCTTACAGAACACTAGCCTAAACAATTCCAATGATTAAAACAGAGAGTAATTAAAAAAAACACTATGAAAAACCCCAAATAACACGCGGGCGAAGTCGCGGGGAACAGCTAGTACTATAATATAATGTAGCGGTACGAATGAGCCGGCTTCACTAGGTAAGGAATACACTCGTACAGAACACTAGCCTAAACAATTCCAATGATTAAAACAGAGAGTAATTAAAAAAAACACTATGAAAAACCCCAAATAACACGCGGGCGAAGTCGCGGGGAACAGCTAGTACTATAATATAATGTAGCGGTACGAATGAGCCGGCTTCACTAGGTAAGGAATACACTCGTACAGAGCACTAGCCTAAACAATTCCAATGATTTAAACAGAGAGTAATTTAAAAAAAAAACACTGAAAAATACTGAAAAGGGAATTAAAGGTTATATCCCATGTCACTTCCACAACTAAGGCGAATCTAACAGCACCTCATATTTTGAAATTCATGAAGCCGTTTAGGCTACAGAGTGTGACATAGAAATTAGACTTACATACATATGTATATACATACATACATACGTACCTACCTACATACATACATACATAAATACATATACTTGCACTTGAAAAATATATCTTCTGAGGCAGTTTGTTAAATAGCAGAATAATGTAGCTGTATTTCATATTACTATAATTTTTTTTTGTTGAAAACAGGTGTCCCTAATTATTGGTAGCAAAGCACACCGTCTTGATTCTTAGGGGTGACAATACACCTTTAATTTCATTCATAATTGTTAAAAGAAATGTATGTAGATGGGCCACATTGTCCACTTACACTGGAAAGTGGACAATGTGGCCCACCTACTGAGGTGGACAATGTGCATGGTTTGCTTCTATAAAAAAAAAACGCTTAGCTAATTTTTACCTGACTTAGATAGAGCCTAAAAGTAGGATAATATTTTTTCTGGTATTTATGTATGTTCATATTTATATGAACATACATAAATACCAGAAAAAATATTACTTTAATATATGTCTTAGTGTATTTTTCAAAAAATACACTAAGACATTATATTTAAATCAGACATTATATATAAATCTTTAAAAAATAATTTACTTCAAGAGTGACAGAGGACCGATACAACATATGTTGTATCGGTCCTGTCACTCTTGCTACTTGCTTGAATTAAATAACTACACTAAGACATTATGTTGAAGTAAAAATAGTTGTAAATTAAATAAATAAACAAAAGTTACATACTATATACGTACTGTATTTTCTTACTTTTTTTAAAAGCCCTGGGTAACCATGGAATATCGTCCGTGACGTAGGAAGAGGATAAAGTTTAATTTAGCTTGCGTGCGTGATTTATCTAATTAACAATAACTATGTAGGCTATTAAAATGTCGGCAAGTAGTCAACATTAAAGAAGTGCAACTTCTATACGTATACGTAGTACTGTTATTCATTCTGTGGTTGTATGTAGATGGAATTTGTATGTTGTCTTGTACCTGTAAGTCTTTGAATTTTATGCAAATGATATCTCTATCAGTTTGACATAATTGTGAGCAGTCACATGATTTATGTACATGTACATTCCAAATATTTAACTACCTTGAATATGAAAATGTATCTTACATTGGTTAGATCATTGCAGCCTGGTTGCTTGTTATTTAATTTTATTTACTTGTTAAATAAAAAGTTTCACTGGGTTAAATATTTTGAAATTTCATTAATTAATGAATGCTGATTATAGAATCATCAACATTATATTCCATTTAATCATATTATGTGTTTTATATATCTCTGTTACAGGAGGAAAGTGCTTTCAAATCAGGAATGCCAGAAGCCATTCCACCCACACCGGCACCAACTCCTACTCCTGCACCGGCTCCATCATTCTCCAATGATCATCAGATGTTGTTAAACACGCTTGGCCAGCAAACTGGAATGAACGAGCATTGGAGCTTAAAGTGAGTTCTCGTTAAATAATATTCTTATGGTGACATGCTCGCAACAAGCTATCAACTTTCCATCAATACCATTTTACGTGGGTTTGCTATACATTGTATTACATGACATGGCAGTCTGTCATAATGGGCACGAGCCATCTCTGAAGGACTGTAATCCATAGTGCACAAGTGTAAGCACAAACATGGTTGCACTCTTTATTCTGTCACTGGGAATAGAGGGATAATCCGACAAGTCTGGATAGAGACCAGGCGTAGGAGCAACGTGTAAAGGTGACACTGCAACTACTTCACTCCAGGCTGCTACTGAGAATTTCTTGACAGAATAACTAATAACTGTTTTTGCCTCGATCTGGGATTCGAACCCGGGACCATATGATCATTAATCGCGCTTACGACCACGTGACCAACGAGACAAGCAGATGTTCTTACCACTTGGTACTTGGCATATTATTCTTCGTCTCCTTCAGCACCAGTGAAATTGATAATTACTCATTTAAATGCTGATTTACATGCTTACTGAGAAAGGAAAACGGGTTTTGACGGCTCCGTGGCTCAGTGGTTTAGCAATGAGTAGTAGCGCTAAGGGCCGCGGGTTCGAATCCCGCACGGAATAATTATTAGTATGGCCTAGAAATAATTGTTCGGGGTCTGGATGTTTGTCCTTAAGAAATTTATTTATGTAAACTGCTCCAACGATACAGGAGACAATCATAGTGTGGAGGTAACGTTTTCCAAAAAAAAAATTGCCATAGTTTTAAAAAAAGAAAAGATAACCAGGAATTTGTATACTTGAGAAATTAAAAAAAATAATTTTAAAGGCATGTTAAGTTTGCTACCACGTATTTGTGAACTATGAAACTATGAAACATCTATTTTCTTTATAACATATAGATAGTTTTTTATATATATATCTCGTATCTGTCTATTTCTTATAACGATCTGCAACGTTACAACAATCGTGATCGTGTGTGTATTATTATCACATCACATTTTGGATTTATGTAGATTTAGCTTATTATACAAACCATCACCATCTTCAAAATGCGTGCAAATTTGTAAAATATTGTAAATATTCAGCTGGTAATGTACTGTACATAGAAAGATACATTTGTACTTAAAATGAACTTTTAAGGACGCCTGATTAGCTCAGCAAGTCCTAGAGAAAGTACAAAGAAAAGTTCCTTTCAGCAACTAAATTAGTAAATACATCTTAAGAGTTTACATCACGAAACTGAAATAGTTGTAGTGATAACTGTTCTATGACTAGATATCGTTAAGTTGCCGTTACATGGAAAATACAGTTATGAAATATAGATAGTTACGATAACTTTATCCATTGTACAATAACGATAATGTTACGTTATTTGTAAAAATAACTGCCCACCGCTAAACTTTTCTATATAACAAAATTCTTTAAATTAGAGAGAAGACCTTTGCCCAACAAATGTACATTTATTATGTGGGCTGGTACTACTTATATGTATGATAAAAAAAGCTTCGTTACCTTTTTATCAGCATGAAACACAGCCAACATTCCTATGTTATATATATAGGCCTGTTGGCTGAGTTATATAGCCCCATAGATTGCCTTATAGGGAGGATTTTGCCACAGTTGCCACGCTTGGCAAGCGCTGCTGCCCATCTTCTATTTTAAGTTGTCTTCTGTCGGCTCCTACAACACCCACGTGACGATATTGGGTGGTGGATATTCGTATACCGCCACTACATGATTACCTTTATCTATTAAAAATATTTTGTTTTGTGTGTTTTTGTACATAAATAATAGTTATTATTAAATACAATATTATAAAGTAATTTTCTTATAGTGTGGGGGTAGCTATAAAAAATCGTACTGTGTTCCCTTAATACTGAAAGTATATATTTACTATTCTTTTCAGTTGCCTACAAGAGACTGGTTGGGATCTCCAACGGGCATTGTTCATATTTAACCAACTTCAGTCAGAAGGCAAGATACCTCCTGAAGCATTCATCAAGTGAATTTTGTCTTTGCTGGTCAAGGCTCTGTTGTTGATTGTACATATAGGATAAGATTTCTTATGACAGTCCCTAAGTTGCATATATTATGTGAACACATTTGTTCCTGGAAGTATGAAGATGAAGAAGTCTAATGATTTGAGTAACTTGAAGAAAATATGTATAATACATCATCTAAAAAACTGTAGCTTGAGTATTTTAGCTTGAGTAAAAATACTCAAGCTACAAATTAGTAGAGATGTAGTTATTTTAAAAAAATACAAATCTGCAAATTTTAAGATAAAAGGAATTTAATCAGGTATAGCGTAAAAATAAAAACAAAATAAAATGTTTGATTTAAGTAAAAGATATATTTTATTACATAGATATTTATGTATATTTTTACTTATTTCTAACTTTCTTTAACTTCCTTTGAGTTGTGGTTCTGTTTGCTAAATATCAAACGTTCAGATGTCTTTGCAAAACTACATTTCATACAATAGACTTAGAACATAGACAAACAAATTTTGAAGGTTAGTTTGATATATATAGTATTAAACTAATAGACCTCTTATTAAATTAATATTTTTATACATGATTGTAAATAATTGTTCAATTAATTCATAAATTCCATGTTTTTATTAGGATTATGTTAGTGAGAAACCGATGTTTTAAACTGTTTTGTTTTTTGTGGTTGATGTTATTAGTATTTACATTTTGGAAAGATACTTGTGTGTTACGTTGTGAAGGCAAAAAATTGTAAAATTATTGTCATTAATACATTTCATACAACTTTGTAGTTACTGTGATCATCGAGGTTTGTACACTTGAAATAATTTGAAAAATTAACAAAAATGTTTGGTTTTCATTTTAGAATTATTACTATTGTAAATATAAAATACATAGGTGTCGATCTGGGTTTGGGTTCAAGCCACAGTTTGGGTGGATGTTTGGCTAATGTTTTCCGTACTGAGCATATGGTGCTGTCGCGCCTGGGTTTCTATTGAACCTTAAGGTGTTTCCATGGCGTGTGAGCGAGAGGGAGTGCTTACTCTTTACCTTTGTATTTTACAGCAGTGGAACCTCTTGGAATATCCCATGTGGGCTAGCTGCTTGGTGCAATCAAGGGTTACCTTTGGATATCGACAGCCACCAATTATTTAAACTGTTTGGTTGGAAACAGAACCATTTTCCACCTGTGGTCTTGCGTGGGATGATTAGGGACAATTAGATAAAGAAATAAGTTATAATTTTAAGACTTATTATGATTTACTTAATAAAAATCTTTTTGTACATAAATTACTTTATATCATTTCTTAAACCATCATGTCCTCTTTATTGTATTTTGTTCACAGCTATCTATTATATGTACGGACGTAATTATTAGACATATAGACAAATACCAAAGTTTTCATTACAATTCCGATAGATTGCGATTGTGTTAGATGTGAAATGACTACACAGACCCAAAGAGTATATATGCGGGATCACTGACCGTCGAGAAAGCAGCGTGAATAGTGCAAGACAATTCTGATATGCAATCTGCAATCCGCCTGCCAATCCTTCTTGTATTGAGAGGCACACGTCATCCTATGGTTTGTAAGTCCTACTACAAAACTAGAAACCTACTAAATAGTATAGTATTAATACTACGTGGTAGAGCCATGCTGCAGCTATATTATGGTTGTAGCACGAATGGGTCGGCTCGACCGGGGAAGGACCACGCTCTCACAGAAAACCAGCGTAAAATAGCAGCTTAACGCTGCTGTGTTTCGTATGGTGAGTGTAGAGAACCGGAGACCCTTTTTACTGGCAAAGAGGCATTCCATCTTAGTCCTCACGGGTGACAACGCATCTGCATCTTGAGTCTTTATTGAGGATAGATGTAGATGTCTATGGGTCACAGTAACCACTTACCATCAGGTGGACTGTGTGCTCTTTTGTCACCCGATTCTATAAAAAAAAATAGATTTATTGTGAAAATTTACAAATGGAGTAGTTTTTAAATAACCAAAATATTTTTGCATTATATGTATTGGCAAAAGTTGATTGCACAATTTTTGCTTGATACCGAACACCTAAATAAAATGTTCAAGTGTTTTATTATAATATCATTTCGTATAAAAATTTTTTTAAATATATACAGGGTTATTTTTGAAAGGGTAGCAAAATTTTAAACTTAAGTTCAAGTTTATAAATATTGATATACCACTATTGCAGTTTTTGAAAATACGAGTAAATAAAGCCCCTACTTTTATTTGAAATTATTTCAAATTGAATGCCGATTGATCGACCCTTACGATTGTGTGCGTGCGTAGTAAAATAGTAATCGTTAAATATTTATGAATGACAATCAGTTAAAATAATGCATTGCCACACATTTTGAATTTAAAAGATAAAACATAATTTTTACTAACATTTGCCTATATTACTTATTATGAACTTTCTCCGCAAATATGGCCGGTTATTACTAAACAAAAATAACCCCGTATAAGACTATCTTTTTACGGATTTTATCGCGTTTAATTTACTATTTTAATTCCCGACGTTTCGGGTGATTTACAGCAACCCATGGTCACGGGGAGGACTGAGATGTTTGACGTCCCGATGTCATAGCCCGGCTACCTTCAGTTTTTTTTTTTAATATTAATTTTTGGTTCGATTTACGCAGAATGAACTTACAGTATCTTGAAGTCTTGCGGTGGTATGCTTGGGTTTGGATTTATAGGATTTTGTTAATTATAGGATCCCAAGCGGATGGCAGCACCCATCCATCTTTATTGAAATTAAGATGTTTTTTTTTAATTTCAATAGCCTCGCGTATCATCCTTGACAGGAATCGGTGTTCTTTTGCGAGGGTTTGTGGTCTATCAAATCTGATGTAATGGCGGGGACGATCTTGAACATGTTCACTGACTGAAGACTTCCCAGAGCGTCGGTGCTTCACGTCAGCTATGTTCTTTCACGCGGGTTTTAATGGATATTTTTGTCTTTTTTTACTTCATCTGAGCATATATGCAACAACTTTACAGTGCTACCTATCTCCAATGGTGTTTTGAAATAAATATTAGATATAATGCCGCTATACATATAAGATATATACTCTCTTTACCTTTCAAACCGAAATACCAGAGTAAGTCAGTGAGTGCATTTCTACTTAAGGGCAGAAATAGGAAAGGGCAGTATAAAAGGCTCAAAGCTCAGCACAAAATAGCTCGTCATAAAGTGACAAAAACTATAAGACGAGCATAACCTATATAATTTTTTACGTGGTAGAGCCATGCTGCAGCTATATTAGTAGTACAGTTGTAGCACGAATGGGTCGGCTCGACCGGGGAAGAACCACGCTCTCACAGAATACCTGCGTAAAATAGCAACCTAAAACTGCTGTGTTTCGTATGGTGAGTGTAGAGAACCGGAGACCCTTTTTACTGGAAAAGAGGCATTCCATCTTAGTCCTCGCGGGTGACGACGCATCTGTATTTTGATTCGCAAACGAGAATAGATGTAGATGTCTTAGGCCACAGAAACCATTTACCATCAGGTGGACTGTGTGCGTCGTTTGTCACCCTATTTTATAAAAAATATATGTATGTCATATGCGCTTATAGAATGAAGTATCAGTCTGTACTAGGGAATTAACATATAAGTAACTGCGTTGCCATCTGGAAGAGTAGTAAGACGAGAAGAATCAAAATTGTAATATTGATGCTTCTCTGTGTTTCAAGTTTCTGGCACTTACTATACCTAACTTGAGTACTAACGAACTTTTTTGCGAAACTAGTAAGCTGTGGAATTAGTATAACCCGTTCGTGAACTGAGTTGCAAGTTTTGACTTAGATTCGGAATCTACGCGGCTATATAGATACTTTTTAGACTATTATAATCTACTAATCTCTTACTAATATAAATAAATCTATTACTAATCAACTTTCGTTGTAATCATTACGAAAATCTAAGAACTTAAAATATTCTCAAATATTTACAACTTGCATGTTACAGTACGTAGTATTAATTACGTTATCTACACCTATCAGATTAACTAGAACATGCTTCACTTATATGACAAGTTATTCAACAGTGTTGTATCTGAAATATTATGCTGAAGGAATATAACTTTACGTGAATCCAAACATCTCCTGGTTTTACTGGTTTTACGTAATTTAGTCTGTTACGTGTTAATGTTAGCATAGACATTTTGGTTATTAAGTGACTGCATTGTTGGTGTAGCGGATAGCGGTCGTAAGTGTGAGAGCTGATCATGTGATCCCGGGTTCAAATCCTGGGTCGAAACAAAATCAGTTATTTTATTTGTCTGTCAAGAAATTCTAAGAAACAGCCGGGGTCAGAAAGTTGGCGGTGTTTCAACCCCGTGCCTCGGAAAGCATATGAAGTCGTAAGGGTCTTGCGCCTTAACTCTCTCCGGGCGTGTGGGATTGAAGCCCCATCGGACTTTGCTGCCATTTTCGTAGCATAACGTCTTATGGGATTTTGCTATGGAGAAATGCGGCTGATTTAGAAATTATTTTAGTTTCACAGAAGCGGGCCATTACAGCTATTTACAACCTGAAACCGGGAGAGTCTCTTAGAGAAAAATTTAAAGAAATAAATGTATTAACTTTGGCCTCTCAGTATATTTCCAAAAATTAATGCATGTTCACAAAAACAAAAGCAGTTTTAGTAAATAAAGTGATATACTCTCTGTAAACACTAGGAACAAACACAAGCTAGTGATATCAGTTTTTCGACTCCACAGAGTTAGTAATTCATTCTTGGGGCAATGTATACGCTATTATAACCAAGTTTAAATATTTTATTAAAGAAAAATTGTATGAAAACGGTTATTATAAATAAATTAATACACGGTCGCTGTTTCTAAAATGTAAATAGTTTGTACAACCATTCATGTAAAATTTACCTAAAAAAAAGTTCCGCTGGGTTTCTTGCTGGTTCTTCCCAGGACAGAGGGTTTTCTTCGAACCAGTGGTAAAGTAAAAAATGACTTTCAATAAGAATTACACATA